ATATCTTGACGATTCTCTGCACTCATTGATAATTATACTTATGTTAAAGGGGGTATATTCAACTGTTTAGTTGTGTGTACATGCCTATATATGCATGTAAACCCTAAACCCTAAACCCTAAACCCTAAACCCTAAACCCTAAACCCTAAACCCTAAACCCTAAACCCTAAACCCTAACAGCTTTCAGGGCTTCATAGGGTGTTCAGGCTGGCCCCCACCCCCCCCCCCCCTCGGTATGTAGTTTAACCTTACTTGCAACTACGGCTGAGGCTTCTAATAAGAAATCTGCCTTTTTCAGCCAGGGTTTCGAAATCTTTTAAAACCCCAAATGGAAATAAGAAAGTTAGGTTTGAACCAGACCCTGAAATATATTTCTTATTCGAGGGTTGATTAGAGGTGAGTATAGGGACAGAGTTGGGGAACATGTAACTCACCAGTGTAGAGCTTTTCGGTGTGCTCTAAGCTCTAAACCCTAAACCCTAAACCCTAAACGCGGGGAAGAGGCCCGGCACAAAAAGTCACCTTTTTTGGGCCTTTCCGGCCTGAAACACCTCAAAAAAGGTGACTTTTTGTGCCGGGCCTCTTCCCCTAAGCCCTAAGCCCTGAGCCCTGAGCCCTGAGCCCTGAGCCCTGAGCCCTGAGCCCTGAGCCCTTAAAGGCTTCCCCGCAAGAGCCCGGCATCCCCGCAAGAGCCCGGCACAAAAAGTCACCTTTTTTGGGCCTTTCCGGCCCCAAACACCTAAAAAAATGTGACTTTTTGTGCCGGGCCTCTTCCCCGCAAGAGCCCGGCACAAAAAGTCACCTTTTTTGGGCCTTTCCGGCCTGAAACACCTCAAAAAAGGTGACTTTTTGTGCCGGGCCTCTTCCCAGAGGCTTCAGGTTGAGACTACGGGGCTTAAGGGATTAAAGGGTTTGAGGCTTGCAGTTTCTTGGGTTCTTGGTAAATATGACAGAGAACGTTACTTAATACTTCCTCGGCGGATTTTTTTGGGGCGAGCCCGCGAGGCCCTGGATTTTAAAATGTGTGGCCGGTCCAGGTCCAGATTTCTTAATTAATAAAATTTCTTAACACACTCCTGGGCCGTAGGCGGGCCGGGCCTCCTTGTATAGAGGAATCAGACATATACATATATATATATACACATATATATATATATATATGGATACGTATATATACATATATATAAATATAAATATAAATAAATAAATATATATATATATATATATGCACCAATAGAGAGGGCTGGCCCTACTTGCCAATAGTACCATGAGGTATACTTAGGGCCGTGCTCGGACCTCTCAAGCGCGCTGCTGCAGGAAAAAAAGGTGCCCCCCCCAAAAAAAAGAATCCTGAAAACCATAAGAACCCCTACAAAGCCCTAAGGTCCCCGATTTCCCATTGAAAACCATCTCAACCCCTAGAGAATCCGAAAGTCTCCATTATCTACGAACCCCTATGCCCCTAAGATCTCGAGTATGTGTAAGCTGTATATCTCGTAGAACTTGGTTCTAAACGCCCAACCCGACATGCTAAACCCGGACAGCCCCATAAGTCTCTATACAAACCACTGCAGGCCGTGCAATCTCTGAGCTCAGTGTGCTGAACCGTGCACTGAAGACCCTGCAAGACCCAAGAAACTAGAACCCGGCAACCCCTAAGCCCTAAGCTCTTGAAAACCCTCCACCCCAAACCGGAAAACCCAAACTTGGGATGTTCCCCCTTGCACTAACAGTCCTATAGACTATAGTACCCCCGATAATCCCTAGCCCTAAACCCTAACCCTAAACCCTAAACCCCAAACCCTAAACCCTAAACCCTAGTAAGGACAAACCCGGACCTCGAAGCTCCTCAGGAAGCATTGCTGGATGCAGATCCACAGGGCCTCCTCTTTGAGGCGCCCCCTAAACCCTAAACGGGGTTTAGGGTTTAGGGTTTAGGGTTTAGGGTTTAGGGTTTAGGGTTTAGGGTTTAGGGTTTAGGGTTTAGGGTTTAGGGTTTAGGGGGTCAGCCGCTGGCAGCTTGGTGGTGGCAGGGCATTTCAGGTTTTTTTGAGGTTTAGGGTTTAGGGTTAGAGGGTAGAGGGTTTAGGGTTTAGGGTTTTCCGGGGTTGGGGTTTTTGAGAAGGCATTGAGTGCTGATTGCAGTTTTACGACTATTTGGTTGAAACCACCAAAAACATAATTCTTCTTATAAGGGCAATCATTGTAGGGATTATGTTATTTCCGTTCCCCAAATGTTCTTCAGCAAATCGTAGTTGAGGGCTCAGTTGTTTGTTCAGAGGCTTCAGAGGCTCCAACGTTCCGGGCTTACTTTGGTTCGTTGTTCCTGCGAAAGGTTGTTTGAGCGGCATTGTCCCCTAAACCCTAAAATCCTGTACCCTAAACCCTGAAACCGAACCTAAACCCTAAACCCTAAACCCTAAACCCTAAACCAGGGTTCATGGATTGGAGGGGGTTCCGAAGCTCTCGTTTAGTGGCCACTGCCATTTCCTCCCAATCACTGTTTGCAGCACTGGTCGCCTTGGTTTAGGGTTTAGGGTTTAGGGTTGAGGGTTCAGGGTTCAGGGTTCAGGGTGTTCAGGGGGTTCAGGGTTCAGGGTTTAGGGTTTGGAGGGTTTAGGGGGCAGCAAGACAGCATGACAGCATGGCGATCCGGAAGCTAGGGAGTTACGCTCCCACGTTCGCTCCCAAATTGCAGACACTCCAGGCCTAAACCCTAAACCCTAAACCCCAAACCCTAAACCCTAAAAGCAACTTGGGACGGATACGCAAAATGCTTTCTGTGCCAAAACCTTGTCGAGTCCTGGGTGCCAGGACCTTTATTCTTCGTATTTTCCCGGGGAACTTTTACAAAAACGCTTCAGGGATAAGAGCTCTGGGGCGAAGGTTGTTTAGGGTTCATATTTTATGAAGGAACGGGGACGGACACACCAAATTCTTTCTGCACCAAAAACCTTGTGGAGTCCTGGGTGCCAGGACCTTTGTTTATTTCTCATTTTTCCTTGGAGTTGTTGCAGGCCGACAGCCCAGAAAGCAAATAAAGGTAAATGCGTAACCGAGCGCCAAGAAGAGCCAGACCAAACAGGTAAAACCATGTAAATTGTTTCACCCACCCACCAACCCGAGGCACAAAGGCACAGAGCTAAGCACCGGCAAGCCTAAACCCTAAACCCTAAACCCTACGCCTCCCAAATTGCCAATTGCAGAGAGGCCCCATAGGTGCCCAAATTTCAAGGATCCGCGCAACCCAAGGCTTCCACTTGTAGGAGCATGTAGTGCGGGCTTAGGGTCTAGGGTTTAGGGTTTCGGGTTTGGGGTTTAGGGTTTAGGGTTCAGGGTTTAGCTTGCGATGTAGGTCCCTGGTAGTGAAGTCTTTTGGGGTTTATAGCCTATTTATAGCGCTTATGTTGGGGTTGTTTTCCGGTTGATAGGGTTCGTAGGGTTTGTAAGGTTTTATAGGGTCTCTGGAGTCTCTAGCGTTTCTGAGGTATAAAGGCTTTACAGGTTTTGTAGGGTTTATAGGCTTTATAAGGTTCAAACGATGTTTTTAGGGTTTATAGGGTTTCTAGTGTTCATGCGGTTTACAGGGTTTGTAGGATTTCTAGGGTTTACAGGGTTCGTAGGGTTTATGGGGTTTATCGTGTTCGTGGGGTTTAGAGGGTTTGTGGTTTTGGGTCGAAGCAAAAACGCGTAAACCCTAAACCCCAAACCCTAAACCCTGAACCCTAAACCCTAAACCCTAAACGAAGGAGGTGTCCAAGCAGCAGCCCTCCGAAATGGCGCCCAGCCGCGCGGGCTGGGTGCGGCTGGATCTCGTCCACGGCCGCTCTGGCTGCATGTTGCGCGTTTGGGCTTGTCGGGCTTGGTAGGTTTATAGGGTTTAGGGTTTAGGGTTTAGGGGTTAGGGGTTAGGGGTTAGGAGTTAGGGTTGTAAAGAAGTAAACCCAACCAAGGCAAGCCACTTTTTTTCTGCCCCGAGCCCTAGAAGCCCCTCCCCCGCCACCACCCCTTTCACCTCTATTGGGGGAGGCGGGCGCAGTCGAGCGCTCAGCGAGACCAGGGCAGGCTCTGCTGAGGGGGCACTGAGCTAGAGTCGCCTAGCTTTGTCTTTAGATATATTGTACTTGGTAGCCCAGTGGTACCCTTTCCCTTTTTTTGGTTCAAGGCTAACTTATAAAGTAACTAACCCAAAAAAGGGTGCCCTTATTATAGTATGGTTACTGGGCTACCAAGTGTATTACCCTAAATTCCGCCAAATTTGTTGTTGCAAGGTGCCGGGGGCCTCCATCCAGGTCAGCCTGGGCCCTGCTCAAAAATCGTTTCTCTGGCCGAAGACGTCCCCCGGTACAAAGCCGTGTGGATGCTGTCAGTGTCCTGTACAAGACACCACATGTTTGTGGCAACAGGTTTTCGGCCGAAGACGTCCGCCACCGAAATGCCTAAACTTTCTCCAGGAAGCTGCGACTGTCTTTCACAAGGCCTTCAGCTTCTTACCCTAAATACGGGTGCATGTACCTAAACAGGGAATACATAGGCCTTAAAGTACTTCCTATACAAAGACTTTGGGGCCAAGTACATAAGAATGAGGTACATGGACCCTTAGGGTAACCCTAAAGGCCCTAAACCCTAAACCCTGCACCCTAAACCCTAAACCCTGAACCCTGAACCCTGAACCCTAAACCCTTTGGGGTTATAGTCAAGCTCCGAAGGTGCAGGCCGCAAATCCGAAGCAGGGCTTCTTCGGTGGGGTATGCAAGTGGAGAATCTGCTTGGGTTCGGCTCCGTTTCGAGTTTTAGGGTTTAGGGTTTAGGGTTTAGGGTTTAGGGTTTAGGGTTTTTGGGCGGTCTTGGGGTGGGCATGAGTCTACATACTACTACGCGCTTACCAAAAACGAAACCCTAAAGCCTAAAGCCTAAAGCCTAAACCCTAAACCCTATAAACCCTAAACTCTAACCCTAAACCCTAAACCCTAACCCTCAGGTGGGGGCTTCGGAGCGCTATGCTCGCTTCCAGCTTTGCGGCCGACATTTGGCCGGGTTGTTATCTGGCCCTACGGGTCCTTGTACCTTGTTACTTAGTAGCTGAGTGAGTAGTACACTTTACACTTTTTGGGGTACTTTAATTTGCACAAAACTTAAAGTGTGCACATTTTTGGGGCTTATGACCTCAGCAACTTAGGTGAATATACACTTGGGCCCCAAAGTCCTTGTATAGGAAGTACTTTAAGGCCTACGTGTTCCCTATTTAGGTACATGGACCCTTAGGGTGGGTTTAGGACTGGGTTTATCTGAAGGTCCTGTTTGGAATTCATTAGGCTTCCTGCGAGGCTGTAAGGGACATGTGCGGCTCTGTTTGAGGACAGGTTTTTGATCAACTACCATTTCTGGTCTTAGGGATATTTGGGGCTTCGGGACTAGGAGCATTTAGGGTTTTAGGGTGGTTGTGTTCCGGCTTAGGAGGGTTTAGCGGTCTGAGATAGAGGAGCTGCGCCTTGCCTGGTTTGCTTGTGGTCCGGCTGGGCCTTCGCGCCTCAGAGTCCAAACCCAAATCTCGAATCCCTAAACCCCAAACCCGAAAACCTAATCCTAACCCTGACCGAACTAGGGCTACAGACAATAGCTAGGGCTCCTACGTTTCGCGGGCTTCTAAGACGTTTTGATTTCGCTTGTTGCGGGTTTAGGATTTAGGGGCACCCTTTCTATAACACATACTGGTAGTCAAGCGGAATTACCTGAACCCTAAACCCTCAAACCCTCAAACCCTAAACCCTAAACGGTTCAAGTTTTGGATTGAGTGGGTTTAGGGATGCCGCATAATGTGCATCCCGGGCTCAGGAGTTGTGAACTCCTTTCCACGCGGCCGGAGATCAACGGGAACTGCACGGCGTGCCTGGTCAACGTAGCCCCTAAACCCTATAAACCCTTTGTAACCTGAAACCCTGAACAGTATGTTTTCGTCAGCTCAGCAAAGATCACAGTCTCCGCTTATTTTGGCGTCCATGACAAATACCTTTTGTCTCAGTACGTACAATTCCCCCGTAAATTTCCTGAGTACGTTGTGGACACAAATTACCATTTTTTGGAGGGCTGTGGGCTGTGGATATGCGTCATCCAAAGTGCTCGATGCCATCGACTTCGTGCCAGATGCTGGAAAGAGACCTCGGTCCGCTCGTGCAAACACGGGCAGCGCCCTCCGACAGCAGTCTTTCCTACTGTGCCTCTACGCTTCTGGCATCGACTTGGATATCTTACGGCGGCGCTTTTGTCATCGAGCATACTTGTTGGTTTTTGAGAAATCGCTTAGGAATTCGTCTTTTGCCACGTGCATGATTTTCACATGTCACTCACAGCTTCAGGCATCCCGTTACGTTTAGGGATTGGTGATGGTTCATGCGGCGGGCATAGTTGGCTCCCTTGTTCTCATTGGCCTTCCTCCTAAGCCCTCAGCCCTAATGTCCCTAACCCCTAAACCCCCATGTGCTAATTATAAAGCTCGAGACCCTAAACCCTAAAACCTACACCCTACACCCTACAACCTAAACCCTCAACCCTAAACCCTAAACCCTAAACCCTAAACCTTAAACCCTAAACCCTAAACCGCAGGGTCTTGCTGTCTCCTCCAGATCTTAGGTACTTGGCTGGAGCCGCTCTGGCGCGGCTTCTGCCGGGTACGGAGATCAAGCCACATTTCGACACGCACTGCAGGCTTGGGCTTAGGGTTTAGGGTTTAGGGTTGAGGGTTGAGGGTTTAGGGTTTAGGGCTTAGGGCTTAGGGCTTAGGGTTTAGGGCTTAGGGTTTAGGGCTTAGGGTTTAGGTTTAGGGTTAGTAGCGTTTGGGGGCTGAGCTGGATTGAACTTAGGGTCTAAGATTTGGTTTATGGCTGGGGCTAGAGGGTTTGATTGGGGCGTAGGGATGAGGTTTTGGCTTTCTGTGCTTTTTCAACACCCCCAGCAACGGACTTTACATGTAGGGGCCCCCAAGTTTTTCATAGGCTTGTAAGGGGCTGTAAGTCGGGTGTATAAGTCTCATTATTTGAGCTATATTTCCTCTAAATACAGTGAATCGACTAAGCGGGGTCCCGGTCCCTACTTGTACTGATTTGCTCGGCTTTTTCGGGGTCAGGGTTCGAGGGCCGCAAGCTCAACGCCACCCTTCACCCTGGGGACCAAATGAAACGGCTTACGCATGTTTGCAGTTCAGACATGTTAATGGTTCATAGTCTTTAGATTATTGTATAGTATAGGGTATCCGACCCCCCCCCCCCCCCTTTTTAATTTTAGGGCTTAGGGCTTAGGGCTTAGGGTTTAGGGTTTAGGGTTTAGGGTTTAGGGTCATTTGGTCCCAAGGCACAGAAAACCTTAATTCTGATGCCTAACGCCATCAGCGCGCTTTTCAAGGGCCGCCTTAAGAACAGAGGGGGGTTTAGGGTTTAGGGTTTAATGTTGGACCCTGATTAGTGTGGGGGCCCCCCCCCCCCCCCCCCCCCCTGAACAGTCGAGGCGTGGATGGGAGCCTGATTACACGGCCCCGGGGGCTTATATGATTTCAATAGGGAGGAGTTTAGATAGGTTTCAAAGGGGCAGCGATGCCCGGTTATCTTTTTTAAAGGCGCGCCACGTGGAATTTTCTTACGACGCCCGGACGGTTTGACTTTAAAGAGGACCCCGCCAACAGTCACGAGATCCTGAATAATTCGGCCAAATTGACTTTAAAGAGGAGGCCCCCACGAATCTGGGTCTAACATTAGGGTTCAGGGTTTAGGGTTTAGGGTTTAGGGTTTAGGGTTTAGGGCTTAGGGTTCAGGGTTTAGGGTTCAGGGTTCAGGGTTTAGGGTTGCAGTTATACATGTTTCTCTTTGTACTCACCAGCGTAGCGGCGTAAACAATTTGGGTGAAGGTGGGGGGGTGGGGAGACAGAGGGCTTGCATCTTTCATTCGGGCTTTAGGGATAGGGCCAGCTTTTACAGGGTAAGGCATTAGGGTTTGGGATTTTGGGTTCGGCTGTGTCCTGGCCAGCAGTGTTTTGGGCTTTGGGGTCGACGCTGGCTGCTCGAGCGACAAACCACGTGCTCAACTCGACTGACTCAACTGGTTTAGGGGTGGTCCGGTGTAGGGTCCAGGGTCCCCTATAAGAAACCAAGCTGGTAAGCTAAATACCAAACCTTGAGCCCTAAACCCTAAACCCGCAATCCCAACCTTACTGAACCCCCTAAACCCTAAACCCTAAACCCTAAACCCGAAACCTCCGCGTGCAGGCTCGCGGCACACCTCGGGCTGCGTTCGGTGGCTGGCGCCTCTATGCGGGTGGGCGGCGAGACCGTGTCCTGGAAGGACGCCTGAAGCCTTCCAAAATGGCTCAGGACGAGAGTTCTTTAGAGGGTTTAGGGCCTGCCTAGAATAAGGAGGGTTTGGGGTTTCGGGTTTAGGGTTTAGGGTTTAGGGTTTAGGGTTTAGGGTGTGGGCTCTAATCACAAAACTTCACCTCGGGGTTCGTTTGGGCTTATGCTTTGTGTGCCTTGGCTGGATAAAACCCGCTTTCCAGCACAACACCCGAAACCCCAGCACCTTCCTTATTGTATGCGCCCTACGCAACAAACCTGATACGACATAAATTCAGAATAGAGCTTGCATCAGATTAACAATCCACATAGATAAATATCAAGAAAGAAATAAATCAATATATATATATATGAGGCAGGAACCTTTGTGTATAATGTGATGATTCGTCCTTTTGTTGGGGGGGGGGGGGAGTGGGGTTTGAATAGTTTGAATAGTTTGGGGGGTCACGCCTGGGGCCTTAAACTATTCAAACTATTCAAAACCTGGTGGTTTGAATAGTTTGAATAGTTTGAATAGTTTTGGGGGGTCCCTGGGAGGAGAGGAGGGGGGGGGGGTGTTTGAATAGTTTGAATAGTTTGGGGGTCCGAACTGGGGCCCTAAACTATTCAAACTATTCAAACCCTGGGGGGCGTCCGGCCTGGGGCCCTAAACTATTCAAACTATTCAAACTATTCAAACTATTGAATAGTTTGAATAGTTTGAATAGTTTGGAGGGTCCGGCCTGGGGCCCTAAACTATCCAAACTATTCAAACTGTTCAAACCCCTGGGGGTTTGAATAGTTTGAATAGTTTGAATAGTTTTGGGGGGTCCCCGGGAGGAGTTCGGACCCCTAAACTATTCAAACTATTCAAACCTCAAACTATTCAAACTATTCAAACTCTTCAACTATTCAAACTATTCAAACTATTCAAACTATTCCTAAACCCTGGGGTTTGAATAGTTTGAATAGTTTGAATAGTTTGGAGTGTCCGGCCTGGGGCCCTAAACTATCCAAACTATTCAAATATTCAAACCTGGGGGTTTGAATAGTTTGAATAGTTTGAATAGTTTAGTTTGAATAGTTTGTTTGAATAGTTTTAGTTTTTTGGAGGGTCCTTGGGAGGAGAGGAGGGGGGGGGGGGTTTGAATAGTTGAATAGTTTGGGGGTCCGAATGGGCCCTAAACTATCCAAACTATTCAAACTATTCAAACCCTGGGGGTTTGAATAGTTTGAATAGTTTGAATAGTTTGAATAGTTTGAATAGTTTGAATAGTTTGAATAGTTTGAATAGTTGTTTGAATAGTTTGAATAGTTTTTTGGGGGGTCCCTGGGAGGAGAGGAGGGGGGGGGGGGCTTGAATAGCTTGAATAGGGGGGGGGGGGGGCTTGAATAGTTTGAATAGTTTGGGGGTCCGGCCTGGGGCCCTAAACTATTCAAACTATTCAAACGATTCAAACTATTCAAAGCCTGGGGTTTGAATAGTTTGAATAGTTTGAATAGTTTGAATAGTTTGAATAGTTTGATATTGGAATAGTTTTGGGGGGTCCCTGGGAGGAGAGAGGAGGGGGGGGGGGGTTGAATAGTTTGAATAGTTTTGGGGGTCCGAACTGGGGCCCTACTATTCAAACTATTCCAACCCTGGGGGGGGGGTCCGGCCTGGGGCCCTATTCAAACTATTCAAAATTCAAAACTATTCAAACTATTCAAACTATTCAAGCTATTCAAACTATTCAAACTATTCAAACTATTCAAACTATTCAAACCCTGGGGGTTTGAATAGTTTGAATAGTTTGAATAGTTTGAATAGTTTGGAGTGTCCGGCCTGGGGCCTAAACTATCCAAACTATTCAAACTATTAAAACCCTGGGGGTTTGAATAGTTTGAATAGTTTGAATAGTTTGAATAGTTTGAATAGTTTTGGGGGGTCCCTGGGAGGAGAAGGGGGGGGGTTAGAATAGTTTGAATAGTTTGAGTAGTTTGGGGGGGTCCCTGGAAGGAGAGGGGAGGGGCTTGAACAGTTTGAATAGTTTGAATAGTTTGGGGGCCCGGCCTGGGGCCCCAAACTATTCAAACTATTCAATCTATTCAAACTATTCAAACTATTCAAACTATTCAAACTACTGAAACCCCCGGTTGGCCTCAATGGGGAGAAATTAGAAAAAGAAGCCAGATGCGCGACGCCCGGTGTCACAGGGTAAGTATTGGTGATTTCTGGGAATTTTACGCCTTCAAAGTCCCCATCCAATGGCCTGATGCGCGACGCCCGGTGTTTTTTTTTGCAGGGAGGATATTTTCGTAGATATTTTCGCGACGCCCGGTGTTACAGGGTATGTATCTGTGATCTCTTGGTATGTTGCGCCTTCAAAGTCCCTATCCAATGGCCTAATGCGCGGCGCCCGCTGTGACAGGGCAGATATTTTCGCGACGCCTGGTGTAACAGGGTAGATATTTTCGCGACGCCCGGTGTGACAGGGTAGATATTTTCGCGACGCCCGGTTGCACAGGGTGGATATGTTTGCGGATATTTTCGCGACATTGGCGCGTTTGGAGGCTGTGGAAACCACACAAATGACAATTTTTAGTGATTGTTGATCATTTATTGCTTTCACAAACCCTCAATCTACGGCCAAGACATAGGGATTTTGGCTAGTTTGGCGGCCTTGGAAACCACCCAAATTCCAATTTTTTGTGATTTTTGACCATTGGTCAAAAATCACAAAAAATTGCCATTTCGGTGGTTTCCAAAGTCGCCAAATTAGCCAAAATACATATGTTTTGGCTCCAGATTGAGGGTTTGCGAAGGCCAAAAATTGCACAAAATCACAAAAAAAAAAAAAAAAAAAAAAAAAAAAAAAAAAAAAAAAAAAAAAAAAAAAAAAAAAAAAAAACACCATTTGGGTGGTTTCCCAGGCCGCCAAACTAGCCGAAATCCCTATGTTTTGGCCCTGGCTTCAGGGTTTGTGAAAGCCAAAAATGGTCAAAAGGCACAAAAAAATTTCCATTTGGGCGGTTTTCAAGGCCGCCAAATGAGCCAAACTCCCTATGTTTTGCCCTAAGTTGAGGCTTTGTGAAGGCCAAAATGATCATGCCATTTGGGTGGTTTCCAGGGCCGCCAAACTAGCCAAAAGCCCTATGTTTTGGCCGTAGATTGAGGGTTTGTGAAAGCAAAAAATTTTGGCGTTCACAAATCCTCAACCTAAGGCCAAAACATAGGGATTTGGGCTCATTTGGTAGCCTTGAAAACTCTCCAAATTGCAATTTTAGTGTTTTTTTGCAATTCTTGGCTTTCACAAACCCTAATCTGCACCAACACATAGGGATTTTGGCTAGTTGGGCGGCCTTGGAAACCACCCAAATGGTTATTTTTTGTGATTTTGGGCAATTACCCCCCCAACCCTTTTCGAGGGGTTGAAAAAATGCTGAAAAAGCAGTTGTTTTCAGCAAAAAACTCAGCCAAAAGCAAAACAACGTACAAAACTCCGGACACGAACCCTATACAATTTCTATGTAGATATTTTCACGACGCCCGGTGTTACAGGGTAAGTGTTGGTGATTTCTGGGAATTGTACGCCTTCAAAGTCCCCATCCAATGGCCTGGTGCGCGACGCCCGGTGTGACAGGGTGGATATTTTCGTAGATATTTTCGCGACGCCCGGTGTTACAGGGTATTTTGCGTCTTCAAAGTCCCCATCCAATGGTCTGACGCGCGACGCCCGGTGTTACAGGGTGGATATGTTTGCGGATATTTTCGCGACATTGGCGAGTTTGGAGGCTGTGGAAACCACACAAATGACAATTCTTAGTGGTTTTTGATCATTTTTTGCTTTCACAAACCCTCAATCTACGACCAAAACATAGGGATTTTGGCTAGTTTGGCGGCCCTGGAAACCACCCAAATGACATTTTTTTGTGATTTTCGATAATTCTTTGCCTTCGCAAACCCTCAACCTAGGGCCAAAACAAAGGGATTTTTGCTAGTTTGGCGGCCTTGGAAACCACCCAAATGGCAATTTTTAGTGATTTTTTACAATTTCTTGCTTTCACAAACCCTAAACCTAAGGCCAAAACATAGGGATTTTGGCTCATTTGGCGGCCTTGAAAACCGCCCAAATGGCTTTTTTTTTGTGTTTTTAGACAGTTTTTTTGCTTTCACAAACCCTCAAGCCAGGGCCAAAACATATGGATTTTGGCTGGTTTTGCGGCCTTGGAAACCACCCAAATTCAAATTTTTCGTGATTTTTGACCATTTTTTGCTTTCACAAACCCTCAATCTACGGCCAAAACATAGGGCTTTTGGCTAGTTTGGCGGCCCTGGAAACCACCCAAATGGCATTTTTTAGTGATTTTTGATCATTTTTGGCCTTCACAAAGCCTCAATCTAGGGCCAAAACATAGGTTCGCGACGCCCTATGAAAAAATTTATGATGTTTGTATTCCTCTCTTACCACGCATGTGTAAAACGTTCCCATATAGAGACATAGCTAATAGTGGCGGCGATAAAGACAAGAAAGTTCTATTACTGTTAATAATTGCAAACGCTTGCGCGCGCCGCCTCGGCAGCTGGTCCGGCCTGCAGCGGGGTGCAGCGTCTGTTCCAGGGCTCTCCCAGGAAGGTTCAAGGACAGTCCCAGGCGAACACCAGAAATGGTGCCAAGAAAGTGTCCCAGGTTTTAGAGGGTTGCAGCGCCTCCAAGTGGTTTTGGCAGGTCCTACAGGGCGGGAGGAGGGGGGGTGAGTCAGAGATTTCGGGAAGGAGGTCATGGCCTGCTTGCTCTAGCTCTAGACGCAAAATGGTTGGAAGCCGAGGCGAACATATCATGAAGGTTCCTGTCTCACATATGGGCAGCCTTAGTCTCTCTTTTGTTTTTCTTGCTGGGTACCAGAAGTAGCTCTGGTGCAGTTCAGCTGCCATGCTATAAATTTCTAACTCGTTACAGACTGCGAGGTACATATTTCAGACATCCCAGCCCGGGTAGTGGGGCAAGTATCTGGGCTGCTAAGGGCTTGCGT